AGAATCAGGTTTTAGTTGATTCGCCCTATACACTAGGCAGTATTTACAATATTAATATTTGCCAGATATTTGCATTTATAAATACGATTAGTTGGTTCAAATATGCACATCCTTCTACCCACAATTACGAGGAATGTGAAATCAAAATGATTGCCTTAGTTAATTAAGGAAGATTTAATTCTCTCTCCACTCTTTTCTACTTATATTAGGATTTGAAATTTAATTCTATTCATATTTTCTGTTTAACATTCTTTTACACTATTCTTTAAAATCTTATAAGAAAGCATAATATTTCTTTTTAACTAAATTTCTTTTTTACTGAACAAAACTCTGTCAATAACACGATTCTATTTTTTTGACGGATTCTCTATACTTGACAACCTAACAAACTGAACCGCTGTATATACAAACATTATTTATATATGAAAAGTATACATACCTAAATATTTAATATGCGTTTAAAATAAAACTAATAAAGAATTTGAGACCTGGCTGCGTCTAACAACACTTCATACTCAGCTAATCAGTACTGTTAGTAACCATGCTTTAATAATGAAGTGTAAACTCAAACTAATGTAATATATGATTAACTTTTTAATTAAGTATTTAAGCTCTTCTACTAACATAAATTTCTCTTAGGTATATACATATGGTATGTTAAGCTATGTCTTAAATCAAATTTATTTAGTTTATAAGGAAATTGAATCTTCTATTTTCATATTTTAATTAATCTTTTGAGTTCTCTACGTGGACAGAGTTTAACCGTACCGATTACGGTTAAACAGTGTTTAACGAGAATATAATTTTTGTTAACAAATAAAAAAATATAACAAATTTTTTTAAATTTCAATTAATATAATAAAAATTTTAAAACAGGGGATGTGACATAATATTTGAATTTCTAGTTTTATATAAACTGAGTAAAAAAAATTTTTTATTTCGCATCAATATTACTCATTTATAAATAATAGTAATGGCAACAATTATTTAATTCATAAAAAGAAACTACCTCACACAATTAACCCAAATAACTGATTAAATGCGTCAACACTTCCATAAACTCATTAATACCAATTTTAAACTCATTTAGCAAAGCGAGCGCAGTTGATGTGACATTTATGCTTAATGATAATCGTTAAACGTTTTGTTGTCAGTGTAAACACTGTGTATGTTTGTATTAATATTTCTGCTCAAATGGCAAAAATTGTATGAGTGGCAAAAAATACAAAAACCAGTTGTTGTGCAATAAATAAAGGAAACGGAAACAGTAAACAGATTTGGTAATGTATTTGTTAAGAGTAAGAAATAAAGATGGAGAGAGAGAAAGAGAGAAAACGACAGATTAATAGAACACGAAGCACACTCATCGTGTGTAGCGCGTCTAAGTGCGCAGCCTTGTTGCAGCAACATGTTGATAAGCTAATATATAACTTTAACGACAATTTAACCATGTAATTTATTTTGATTTAACATATCAATTTAAACATTGCCAATGTATAGTAGTTAAACTAAGTATTCAATATACATAAACATAAAATATATATGTATGTTAATGTAAAGGTTGTGCAATATTGAAGCACGTTTTATCATGCTTACTGCTTTTCACTGCATAGGATAATAAGTTTAAGACATCTTACTATGGACATTTGTACCCGTTTTGTTGTAGTATTGTGTATGGCTGGGCATGGTGCACACTCAAAACGAATTTATACAAAATTTTATTCAGTTAAGGAATGTCTTATTTTATTTCATTTTATTATTACGTTTTTATTTTATTTTATTTCATTTTATTTAATTTTATTGCATTGACATCACATTTTTCTAGTCTCCTTCGGGGTTAAGGGTGGCCACACACATATATGCATGTATCAATGTGGGGAGTGAAGGTGTGCGGCAGTGGAGTTGAATTTATTTTGTATAAACGTTAGCGTCGAAGCATAGAAAAATGTGCATGGCTTGTCGTATGAACGCCGCTTGGCACTGTGCTTATGACGAGCATGTTGATTGCATGTATGTATGTGTTTGTAAGTGAGTGTGTTCAGTGTTGTATATGGTATGTTGAGCGTATATTTGGTGCATGGGGTGATTGCTTTTAAATGGTACGTGGGTGATTCCATCAGCATATTTTTGTATATTTTAGTGTTTAGTGCTTTTTTCATTTTATTTCATTTTTCGATGTTGAGCTTCTTTTCTTTTTCTTTTTTTTCTTTTGGTTCAGCTTCATGCTTTGGTATTGTTGTTGTTGCTGTATCTTTATTTTATTTTATTTTATTCTTTTTTATTTGACATGGCAGCATGCCTACAGGCAAAATTTTGTCGTGCTTGTTGTCGTCCTCGTGCTTAATGTCATTTTTACGTTATCGTCCTGGAGATGAAGTGGAATTCGTCATTTTTATTTTTAAATGTAGTACTTAATTCATGACTCTTGTGTCGTTTTTGCTAAAGCAGCAACAGCAACAGCAGTGGCAGCGACAACAACAACAGCAGCAGGAGCAGGAGCAACAAAGATGAGGCAGTAAGTGCAAAAGCGAAACGTGGCATTTTTATTGAATCACATATTATATACATAATATGTGCCGAGAGAAGGAGTGTTGAAAAATGAAAGGAATTTTTTTTGAGGCAATTTAGGCATGTTTAAAAATTGCAACGTAAGTTCTAGATTGATTTTTATTGTGTTTAAGTATTAGTTTTTATTGTTGTTATTGTTGTTGATGTTGGGGTTAGCATTACTTAAAGTAATTTAAATTCAGAATTGCATAAGTGTAGCAATTGCTAAAGTAATAATACAGAAAGTTAATGATTCGTAATTTTTAAATTACTATAGAAAAATATCGGAATGGAAATGCTTTTAATTTATAAAAAATATCTGATACTCCCATATGTTCTGTTAATTATAAATAATATAATATAACAAGTCAGCAGATTACGTTGCGTTGACCTCTATTAGTGATTTTTTATTGAAATAATTTAATAGATCTTTCGTCTTTACCATGAACAGTCTGATAAACTGTCAATAAAAAGTACTTCCCTACACATCTATTTCTTCTGAATACCAGAGCCAGACATTCACAGAGTAAATTCTTAAATATTTCTTTTTCCTGAAAGTTTTCTCAATTTTTGCAGTGAATATTGAAAGGAATATGCAGTTTCTCTGCATAGATTCCAATACACCAGTGATAAGCCTTATAATATTTACGCGGTCTTATGTAATGAATTCGCAAGATTTAGACATGTTAAGTTGGAAGGTACATTTGGGGTCATAAGAGGGAAAATATTTCGAAATAATACAATTCTAAAACTTTAGATTTTAAGCTAAATAAAATGTTTTTAAAATTTTTGTGAAAATTTTTCAAATTTTCAGTTAACCATTAATAACATTTTTAAAATAGTTCTAAAATTATTGCTTTGTAGGTTATTTTTATACTTAAAAAAAATTTGTTTTTCGAAATTAACGTTTAATATTAATAAGTAAATATAAGAGATTTTATTTATTTACATTATTTACAAAAAGTTCAAAATATTACTTTTAAAACACAAAAAATTTTTACGCCTATCATATACGGAGCCTGATATATGACCATATCATAAGAGTCCGTCTCTCCAAGGAAAAAAATTTGATCATTTTTTTTCGGGTAACTGGTAATTTCATTTTAAAAAATCAATGTTCATGAAAATCAAAGATGATGACGTGAAAAGCCACACCGCTTGCGGCGCAGAATGACCCATATGCTTGGTCAGTATTAGCTATTGATCTTGATATTCTGATCATTTGAAATGTGTGAGTTGACTATTTAGTATTACTATTCGCTGATTTATAATTACAGAGGTTCTCTGTCTTTTGTTTACTATGTCTCTGTAAACTTTATCGAATTAAAATTAAATCTAAGTATTTTTTAAATACAAAATTTATAATACAAGACTAAAGATGAACCAATGAAAATGATTTAAAAAATTTTTTTGACAGTTACAACAGCTGATTATTCTTGCTATTTTATCACTGCTACCTCTGTTTTTAAATTTGTGGTTATCCGTACAAAACATTTCGCTTGGATTGTTGACTGGAATTTTCAAACAAATTCGATTAATCCTATATTTCTTTCGAAATCATTAGTCTGTATTTTCTAAAGTTGATTAAATACTACATAATTAGTCTCTAACATAAAATATATTGCTTAACGTTAAGATTCGTTTGAAATCTGTAGTCTTCTAACGGCTGAATTTATAGCCAGTCTTCAGCAGAACAGACGAGTTATTTTTTATCAAGCGCTGTTTTAGAGATTGCAGAAAGTGACTAATTGTTTTAGTGCACAACAATAAAATAAATATTCGTAATATTATGATTCAAGTACCACAGAAACTACCGTCTTAATAATAGTCTGAAAAGTAACTGTTACTTGAAAATAGCAAAAGGATTAGCAACTGCTATTACCAAATAGTATGGTATAAGTAAATAAAACAGTTAAATAAATAATTAAAAAAAAAAACTTTTCCTGATATTTCCGTTTTAATTAATATAGAAACTGTCATCTTAATAGCAGTTCAAAGTAGCCGTTATTTGAAAATAGCAAAAGCAATAGCAAAAGCAGTAGCAATAGCAAAAGCAATATTAAAAACAATAGCAATAGCAAAAGCAGTAGCAACTGCTATTAACAAATATTATCGTCTAATAATAATAAATGATAATTATGCAAAAAAAATTTAAAATAATAATTTTAAAAGTTATGAATACATATATTATTTTTATAAAGCGGATCCACATCATTAGCTTGTAATTTTCGCTAAGTTTGTTTTTTTATTGTATTTGTTCTTTCCTCAAGAGTATGAAATTTAAATACATTAAGTAGTAATATATTTTGTACCCTAAAAAAGTTTAAAGGTCATCGATTCATTTGAGTCCTAGAGATGATAACCTTTTTATATTAAACCAAAAATAGTTTCACACAAGCTCTTTACAACAACTATATAACTATACAACAACAACAAAATTAAGCTCGTTAAAAATGACGAACACAAATGAATGTAAGGAAGGCAATAATGATGTTATTGTTGAGCACACAAAAAGCCATTATTACGATAATGAAGTTAAAAATGCTATGAAATCAAATCGGCACGAGGCCAACTGGAATAAAGTACTTTGGGCCAGAGCACAAACTAAATAAATCTGTCGCAGAATATAAAAACAACAGTCAAATTGACGTTGACAAGGATACCAGGGTGTACAAGGATATACAAGTGAATATAAGGGTATATGAGGAAAAGAAGACGAAGGAAAATGTAAGTATTAAATGGCATAAAGAAACAAAGATTAAATAAAAATGAGAAATTATATGGAAAGCACTTTTCGATGTAACTAAGTATGATAATATTTAACCTATTGCACAGTGTAGGAGAATATAAAAAACAAACTAAACAAAGAAAATAAAACACAAAATTGCAAAAAAAACAAAAATAAATAATATGAAATAAAGTAAAATAAAAGAGCATAAAAAACTATAAAAGTAAGCGAGTAACCAAAAAAAGAAAGGAAAAGGGGAGTTAATTTGACTTGCCACGCGTTTTGAAGCATATTTCCGCTTGGCTTTATTTTGTTTTTGTTATTACTGCATTGAATAAAAAATTTTACGGTTATAGTGGCAGCATCTGTGAAGAAGGACAATATGAAAGGATAAGCAAATTAAAATTAAAGTGACATTTTATTTCCGGTAAGGGTTGTTGTTAAAAGTGTGCTGTGGACTAGTTGGGGACGTGTGTGTGTATGTGTGTATGTTTTAACGAGTGCCTGTCGGTGCGTTTATTTAGTTGAAAAGTTAATGTGTATTTTTTTCAGCTTTTTTTTTTGTTCTTTGGTTATACAGTTTTAAATGTGCTACACTTGTCTATTACATTTATCAGTCTACCTGCCTACCTAGAGTTTTTACATACCACAAAGTGTGTAGCACAAATTTTAAGTTTAACAGCACTTACATGTTCAACATACTGCGCTCGTTACTTTAACAACAAAATAGTCGAGCAGCAGCATTTACTGTTGCTTTTACTGCAATTGCCGTTGGTGCTACGTCTATTTCTACTACTGCTGTCACAGTTTCTCTTACAGTTTTCAACTTTGCCTTTGTTGTTTTTGTTTTTACTCTTGATGTTACTTGCCATTTAACGCCTTCAGTTAACAGACTCCGCAGTCTGTTATATATCTCTCTTTTCCTTTTTCTTCTTTTTTTTGTTTTTGCATATTCTGTTTTTCATCTTTTTCATCGCCACATCAACATTATAAAGTAGCACATTGGAAAATTGGTTGAGTGCTTGGCTTTTTGAAATATTTAAGTAAAAGTTACAGTGCGCGCTGGCTGCATTGTTGGTGTTAATTGATTTTTATGAAGCGATAATGAATTTGTAAAAGTTTCCCATTTTTTATTCCCATGTGGCCTGGCCTGTGTGCAATTGTGTGCATGAGCATAAGCATATGTGTGTGTTTGCGTTAGTTTGTAGCTGCCCAGCGGGACTTTCAGCGCTGAGGGAATCGATTCCCTCAGCGCTGAATGGTAATGCCTAGCGCTGATTATTCAAAGGAAACTCCTAATTACTTTAACACGTGCATGTCATTGCGGGCAAGCGCTGAATCGTTCGATTACCTTTTCGTATTTGTAATGCAACATATCAGCGCTGACATGTTCGCTTACTTTTTCGAATTTGTAATGCAACATATCAGCGCTGACATGTTAGATTACCTTTTCGAATTTGTAATGCAACATATCAGCGCTGATATGTTCGCTTAAATTTTCAATTTTACCTATGCTATTGATTTTTAAATAAAATACTAAAAATTTTTTTGGATGAATTATATTTTATATTTATGTTTTATAAAATTAAAATATTAATATTTACATAAAAAAATATAACATATTTATATATATGAATATTTTTCTGTGAAATTGTTACTAAAACCTTTAGAGATTTCCAGACTCGACTCGATCACTTGTTCCGGCTTACCATTTGTACTTAAAGTATCTGTAAATACAAAAGTATGTTATTGTATACGCTAAAGTTAATTATGTACAATATACCATACCAAAAAGTGCTGCTGTCACATTCTCTAACGCTCTTAAGGACTTCTTGCCTTGGGTACCATTCTCCAAAATTCCACGAAATTTTTCGCGTAATTGGTTGTTTTTTAATAACGCGTCTCATTGATGCAGTCTATAAATAACGTAATAGATGAAA